TTGCCTGCAAGAAGGACACACCGCCAATTATCGCGGATGTCCGAAATTCCCCCGACGCATAGTCGGAAATAAAACTGTGAATAAGAGTGCAAACTCAGAAAATGTAAATAATAATGTAAATAATGGTGTTAAAATGCCTAGTACTTCTAATGCAAATTTGAGTTATTCTGCTGTTGCCTCCGGGCGCAGTTATGCTAGTGTAGCCAAGGGTGACGTTCAAAGATCTGTAAATACTGTTAATAATTTTAATGTTGATATGCATAAACAGACTGTCAGCAGTGGTGGTGCTGCTAGTGCTACTGTTGGTTTGGGTATGTTTATGGACTTTCTCAAAATAATCAAAGAGGTGTGTGATGTTTTTGAAGGCACCACAGTTATGAATGTTTTTCAAAAAATCTCGGCAGCCATGCCTGAATTGCGGGCTGCGGAGCATTCAATCGATAAGTTGTTTATATTATTTAATGTTTTTGACAGTGTTTTTTCCAATGTTGAATAATTATGTATAGTGTAAACAATAGGTACTTAAGTATTATTACTTGGAACGCAAATGGTTTGTTCCGTAAGATTAATGAATTGCGGGATTTTGCAAGTGAGCACAGTCCCGACTTATTTTTCCTACAAGAACACAAGCTTGACCCTAAAATATCATTGTGTGTGGCAAATTACTATACCTACAAGTCGCACAGAAGTACTACCTGCTCCTCGCCCACGTGGAGGTGGCACTGCACTTCTTGTCAAACGCTGCATTCCCCATTATCACGTGAACATTCCACAGCTCTCAGCCGTAGAGGGCCACAGCTATCTGCATCACAACAGACACTAACACTCCATACACTTTTGTCTCCACCTACATTCCTCCCATGAGACCTGTGGCTGTCGTTCAGGCAGACCTTGAAATTCTACTCACACTGGTACACATGTTATTATTGGTGGAGACTTGAACGCAAGACACCGCGCATGGAACTGCTACACTTCTAATGCAACAGGCAGACTGATTTATTCCTTGGCCGCGTCGGCACGGTTTAAATTGGCAGTTCCAAGTACCCCCCCCAACACGGTATGCTGCTGGGTCCACCGCAATTATTGATTTTTTCCTGTTGCGGAACACCAGTTCTCCACTGGATATTTCCGTACTGGACGAACTTTCAAGTGATCACAATCCTGTTAGGATTATTCTGGACCTCAGCAGATATACTACATCAGACACCAGGGCCTTTCGTACAGACTGGCAGGTCTTTGCCAAAGCCCTCTCCAACACCCAGTACACTTTACCCACGATACACAAGGGGAGTGACATTGATAGTTTGGTCAAGGACCTCACTGAAAATATACAAAATGCTTATGCGAAAGCACAAGTTGAAGTTAAACCTGGTATGAAACACAAGCCTCAAGAGCTCAGATTATTGATTAAAGAGAGAAATGCTGCAAGACGAGCGTATCAACGTACCAGACACCGTGATGATAAAAGGAACTTCAATCGCCTGTGCGAAGCGGTCAAGTTTCTTACAAATAAACTCTCACAAGATCGCTGGACTAACTACCTCAGATCTCTTTCTGCAGAGGATAACTCCTTGTGGAAAGCAGTGAAGAGGTACAAAAATGCTATAACGCCATTCCGCCCCTTCACGGCCCTCAACGGATCCATTACACCGGAACTGAGAAAGCAGAACTTTTAGCTCAGCATCTGGAATCTCAGTTCTGCATTAACAACATTTCAGACTCAGACACTGAACAGCTTATTGCTGACTTCCACTCCAATTTTACAACACAGCCATGCACAGACAACATTATCTCAGCCATGCCATCGGAGGTCTGTCTCTATATCATGCGAATTGCGAAAAGGAAGAGCCCTGGAGTAGACGGGGTCACAAATGAGATGATCAAGCACTTCCCTGTCAAGATAATACTCTACTTCACCAAGTTAGTGAATATCATACTACGATGGCAATACTTCCCAACTTGTTGGAAAACTGCCAAGATTGTCCCTCTGCTAAAGCCCAACAAGCCTGCGACTGCTCCTGAGAGTTACCGACCAATCAGTTTGCTAAGCTCAATTAGCAAAATCGTGGAAGCAGTTATTCTCCATAGACTAAACATCTTTCTGGATGTGAGCAGAAGATCCTCATACCCTATCAGTTTGGGTTCAGGCGTAAGCACTCGACAACGCATCAACTCTACAGAGTTGTGTTGAGTTAATAAGCAGTGGGATGCAACAACATCGTGTCACTGGTGGACTTTTCTTAGATGTCGCCAAGGCCTTCGATAGAGTATGGCTGGATGCCCTCATATACAAATTACACAACCTGGGACTCCCAAACTACATCACAAACATAATTAAATCCTACCTAACCGGTAGACACTTTGTCGTTCATGTTTCTGGTTCATTATCCACAAACCGGCCTATACGGGCTGGTGTTCCACAGGGATCCCTTCTGGGCCCTACCCTATTCAATATTTACGTGAACGACATCCCCACTACACACAACACAACACTACCCATGTATGCAGACGACACAGCGATCCCTACGCAAAATGCATTTGTTAGTTCAGCAATACAACATCTACAACACCACATCCACTCGCTAGCGACTTGGCTGACCAAATGGAAAGTCAAAATGAATGTCGACAAGACACATGCCATACTGCGAAAGTTTGAGAAGGCAGTTACAAGCTGCCTAAAACGGGGTATTGCGTATGATATGTAATGCCCCCTGGTACATTCGGAATAGCCAAATTCGTAAAGAGTTAAGAATAGAGGATCTTTGTGATTTTTATTGCCGCCTATCTAGGGCATTTTATGATAAACAGGAACTTCTTGACAATCCTGTGGTTGTTAACTATTGTTATGATACTAGGGACCCCAATTTCAGTAAACGCCCAAGGGCGATCCTAAATGTTAGTAATATGTAATTTTGTATATGTGTTATGCAAATTGTTGCTCAGATTCTTTATTGTATATTGTTTTTTTTCCCTCCTGATTGCATTTTGTTTTTACTAGTGGCACTATGACGTTGCACTTCGTATTTTGTTTCTCTTGTGTGTACATGTATTCTTCTGTGAAATAGTTGTTAAAAATAGTTAATTATGTATGGATTAGTAATTAGGTACTTAAGGAAAAAAATATGTATTTAACTATTAGCAATTATGAATGTAAACTCTTACTCATTTAATTGTTTAGCACATTCAGTTATATTTCTCATAATTCGAAACTTTTATCATGTTATTCGATGAGGGGAAGGGCTATGGCGCCCAGGCACCCTGGTGGTTAAGCACCGCAGTTCAATGAATAATTCCCGGACTGGAGGAAACGGCGTTCGCCAAAGTCCTTATCTCCTTTCTTCTTGCTTAAAAGCAAGATCGCTACATTGTCATTCTTCCCCTTCTTCTCTTGCGGAACCTCGCACTCGAAAGGCGAGGCTATATTATCCAGCATCCAGATACAAATAACTAATCCCGAACATATTACTTCTTCCTCGATTTAGGATTTTTTACCGTTTTGGAAATTCTCTGATTTCTCGTCGGGAAAAGCTATGTGACAAAAGAACGCGTATTGTGGTTGAAGTCCAGAACGAACTGGGGCAGGTCTAAACATAGCTCCGAAATTTTTTAAATAACTGTTTCAGTAAAATATTTTCAACTCTCTAAAAAAGTTTAATGCACCTTTCCTATGCAATGTCTCATTCATCAAATTGAAAAAGGAAACTTCGCTTCATCGAAACTTCAGGTGTTTTGTTAGCTGTTTACTATCAACACGAGAAATCCAAAAGAGGCCCTGACACGGAATATTCAGATAAGTAACATTCTGTTCTCTATACAATATATGTTTCTCTATCACTAGAGTGCAATTAAATTTTTTTATTTATTATTTTTCATAAGATTCTAGCATTATACAATAGTTAGTAATAGTAGCAAGTCATGTGGTTCTTTTCTTCGTAACTATTCCGTAGAGACGCCACATTCCTTATCAGTAGTCCGTTCTTATCAGCAATTCACACCCTTCGGAGGCCCCCCTCTTCGTGCTTAGGAATTTCTTGAGAGGGAAAAAATGGGGATCTCTTGACCATCGATGAGTATAGATTGTGATTTTTGTAACTAAGATCCCCGATTTTTTTTTTTTTTTTTCAGGTCTCAAACTTAGAATTATGAGCAAATAAAAATACAGTGTGACGGAATTTGTTAAACTTGTACTATAATAAATTACAACGGTTAAATTAATAAATTAATTTTATATTTAACTAATATTTAAGAAAAATAAACTGTGTAATTTATTTTTGCTGAAATGCTCTCACACTGTGTATGGATTTATGATTTTGTCAATTACTGTTTTTATGAAATATACATGAATTTTTTGGGAACGGTAATATTTAATGTTACTTTAGTTAAAATATTATGTACATCTCTGTGATGATATATGTCTTTTCTTGTTAGGTCTCAAGATAACGGCATACACATTACCATGTAGGAATTCATTCATTCATTTATTTTTTTTTTAACTTAGCTAAAGTTTGCTTCTTAAAGACACGAATTTTTGCAGATGAACTCCTTAACTACACTCATGGACACAATCGTATTTTAGGGTATTTTCTACTTCTTTTCCTTTTCTTTCTATAGGCCCTTTTTTTTTCCCCCTCTATTATTTTTGGGCCATTTAATTTAAATTTTATTTTGTCCCATCTTTTCTTTTCTTTTCTTTCTGGCCTTTTGAACTCGTACAAAATGTACGAAGTTCCTTTTCACTCTCCTCAAATACGAAATTGACCCTCTTTCTATATACCTTTCCTTCGCACCTATGCTTGATTTTTCGCCCATCGGTGCAGAAAGACTTAGCGGGTGCAAAAGACATCTGTCTACTTTGTCTGTCTGTCTGTCTTCGTGAGGTCAATTAGATATCTTACGCGGATGGAGCATTGTTTTGTATAAAGGAAAAAAAAAAAAAAATGCTATCTGTGGATGCGCATAGTACCTTTTAATATTAAACAGCTTAGCGAAAGTAATCGAAGATGAATTGCGATTCTAGTTCTCCGATTTCTGGGTCTGGTTTTGACTCGGAAAGTGATGACTTTGAATTCGAATTTTTCTCATCCCCATCACGTTCAGAAATTTCAGGATCGGAAATTACTCCAACAGATAATGAAGAAGCTGATGACACTTGGTCGAGTTCCTCATTTGAAACGGAGGATACTACCACTTTTAACACTAAAGACGCTAAGGGAGAAGACAGAAAAACAGAAGTTTCTACACTATCAAAGATTTGTAAGCACGATCATAATGACAATCGTAAGCAGATTGTAAATAAATTGATAAATCTTAACATACAACAGATTGCTTATGACAAAAGTTCAGACAATGGAATTCCATCTACAAGTGCTAATTGTAGTTATAGCAATACACAGCAGATTAGACATGATGAAAGTTCAGATAGTGAAGCTCCATCTGCATCTACAAGTGCTACTTGTAGTAGTAGCAATACACAACAGACAAGTGATGACAAAAGTTCAGACAGTGAAGCTTCATCTGCATTAACAAGTGCCAATAATAATGGCAAATTTTACTGTGATTTTTGTGGTGAAAGGTATAATTCAGAGGCAGAAAGAGATATCCATAAATTACATCATTTAGTATACGATTCGTATGTCTGTGAAGTATGTAATCAACTGTGTAAGAAAAGAGAAGAATATATATTACATTATACTTTACACGATCAGGGTTGTGACGTGTCAAAATATATTCCGATTAAAAAGGATACAACACGTCATAGATTTCGTTGCAAGTTTCATTGTGGCAAAACTTATCGTTTTTCTAGAAGCTTATCAAGGCATTTAAAGAAACACATTAAATCTTATACTTGTGATGTATGTCGTTCGTCATTTCCTACCCTTCTCTTATGTCATAAGCATAAGCTAAGCCATGTCCAAAAGTGCATTCATGTTTGCAATGTTTGTGGCAAAATATTTCACAGGGCTTATCAACTCACTGTACATATGCAAACCCATAAAACTGAAAAGAAATACGAATGTGTAGAGTGTGGTGTTGCATATCGTTATGAAACTAGTCTGATGAGACATTCGCTGAAATATCATTCACCAGATTCTCCAAAAATTCTATGCGATGTGTGTGGGAAACTTTTCAAAAGCAAAAAAATGTTTAGTCGTCATACTATTTTACATGCAATGACAAAGCTTATAGAGTGTTCTGAATGCACACAAACATTTAAATATCGTTCTGGTTCTCGTTTTCATCACCTCATCCTTAAGAACACAAAGCCATTTTGCTGCAGTCTGTGTGGTAACCACTATAAAAGTGAAAGTCTTTTGCAATCTCACAAAGCTATGCATTATTGAAATGATAAATTTGTTTGCAGAATTTGTAATAAAATCTTTGGCATTGAATCCCTCCTGATTAAGCACATGGTGATTCATAAAAATAATGTACAACTGTGAGAATGTTTCAAATCAGGATGAGTGGAAATGCTTTAATTTTAATGTTATAGAAATTAAATAGAGTACAGTTTTAAACTGTGATTATTATTTTACTCTGGCAAATTTTTTAATTTCATAAATATATATAACTTTAGTTCTGTGCACTAAATCTAATTCATAAAGACGAGTTGAATGTGAGTATTAAGAAAGATTGATGCTTTCTCTAGATCTCTTATCAGTGAAGAATGCTTTTTAAATTCTATGAAATTGAAGATCCTACTGGAAAAAGCCTCGCTGAATGACTGTTGTGTTTATATCTTCATCACATTTCACTGATTTCAGGTGTCACAAATTTTAAAACTCAAGTTTTTCATACATCTAAGCTTGATGATTAAGTATTGTTGATAATAATGTACTGCAAAATAGAGTGAAGGGAAATATAAGATGAGAAACAGATTTATCCCTGTCAGCCCTTGACTACAGTTCAGATTAAATAAATTATATGCAGGATAAAAAATTTTTAAAGTCAAATAAATTGCCAGCTGAAGTATAGTGTAAATAAAATTAAAAAGTGGAGAATAAAAGAAAATGACGGACCTTTTGATGTAGTATAGATGTATAATCCTTTTTCTTTTGACTTTTTGTGTACTGCCATTTCTATTTTTTGATTCCAGATCATTAGGAGTTTTTGGACTTCCCATCCAGCATGAAATTGTTTCATTTCTTTCTGAAGCCTAGTGAAGTGGGAATCATTGTTTAACAGTTTCATGAATTTTATATTGGTTTTCTTTATTTTAAAAGCATGCCTTCTGTCTTGAGCACTTTAAAACATGCAAGAAATATTATCTTCTCAGAATTTGAGGGTAAAGTTCAAGACTGACAGATTTCCAAATGAAATAGAAGGAAATGAGTTTTCTCCTTTGTGTTGTTTGTTCCAAATAGGTCACTGCTGTCAGATTTTTGAAGGAATTTGGTTAGATTAAAAATGAAATGTAGTAGGGATATGAAATTGTCGGAAAAGAAAAGTTTTTCTGGTGGCTTTATTTGGATTTGAAGAAATATTAAAGGCAGAAAGTTTCGTAGAACCCAGAAGTTAATTAGAAAGATTCTAATATAACCTCTGTTTTCATAATGACCACATTTTTTTATTCAGTAAAAGATTGATTTTCCAGAAAACTCGGGAAATGCTGAATTCTGGATACATGAAAATTCCTGATAACTGATCATATAAAAAATGCAATTCGTGGTACAACAGGGGTACTTTTTGGTAATGCACCTGCTCTCTATTTTGCAGTGCCTGTTGTAATAATATGGTGTTTTTTTTTATTATTATTTATTTTTTATTCCCCTGATGCATATTCACATATATAGTCCGTAGATGATGCTCTCATTGGGTCCTGACATGTGTTTGGCTTTCTCTTTCATGGACACCAAAAAGCATGGCAGGCACTTAATGGAAAAGTACCATAAAGGCAATTGATTGGAAGCAAACATTTCCTGTCTAAAATTATAAAAGGAATCATTTTATTTGTTATTATCTTGAACACTAGATGCTTGCGTGTAAATTATGTGAAACTGTCAGAAGAAAAAAGAGCATTCCAGACATAACTGCTGAAGTGAAACATTATATTTGATTATAAAATTCCATCAACCATGAAAATTCGTGGTGATCTCGCCAAACTTATGTCAATCATTCTGGCAGAAATTTGAAGGAACATATCTCTTTTTATTTAATTAATCAGCATATATAAATTGCAGGCATAGCATATAAAAAATTAAATTACTTGTCATTTATTAAATTGCTTGTCATTATTTTTTATGTTGCTTAGCCAGTGTTTATCCATTTTCACATATGTTGCACTTTTCTTGATGCCAGGATTCTGTCCTACTGCATGCATGTCCCTTGAAGACGAGATCAAAATTTTAATTTTCTTTTCAAAATGTGGTGAAAATATATTTACAGGTACCCCTTGGCAAAAATTGGCAGTACATGGATACCGAGATTCTGCAATTCTTTTACTTGTTATTTTGGCTTTTCTACACAAAGCCAAATTAACAACACAAAGAATTGCACAATCTCGGTATCCATGTACACACTTAAAAAAACATCAGAGAATCGCACGAACTAGACATTGCGCACTCCCTTGACTTTGACCATGTACACATCAAACTATATTCACTTAAAAAGTCAAAGGTGCAGCCAACAAAAAAACATATAATCTCAATAAACTACATTTTAAATCAAACAATGAACACAAAAAGGAAATTCATCTTTGCACTACACAAAGGAAATATCCACTTACCTTATTTACTAATTAACATGTCCTCAGTCAAATAAAATTCCTTAACAGCATCCAAAAACTTTCTAATATTATCTGAACTAGAATCTGTATACTGGCATCGCCACATAAATTCACAAAATAATGGTAAAAAATATCCTTCGTCGTGCCGTTATCGTCCAACATTCGACCATACGCATTTCCTTTCTACAAACAGGACACTTAATAGTGGCTACTAAGTAAACCTTCATTTACACACCAGTCAAGTAATGCTTTTTTCCCCTTTCTTTCCAAATCGTACAGAAACTTCAAATTAATCTTACCACATTCAGCCATTTTACCGTCTAAACCATGAAACAAGCAATATACTTCCTAACCAACACACACCACAAACCCTTACGAATTTACCGCAATCATGCAACTGATTATGTCATAATAGGGTTTCCATAACATTCAACTACTCAGGCTACCATAATGAAACAATAACTTCGTGATATACAAGGGGTACGCTTCTCTCTACTCGAACCCAAAATGTGATTAAAAACTGCTAAACAGCAGGTATAAGTTACAAGCATACCATATAAAAAATTAAATCGTTTGTCATAATTTTTTTGTTGCTTACCCAGTATTTATCCATTTTCACACGTGTTGCACTTTTCTTGATTCTTGGATCATGTTCTACTACATGCTGAAGGCAAGTTTTAAAATTTTTATAATTTTTTTAATACAATTAAAAAAACAGATGTATGTTAAAAAATTTCAAATTCTGTGGTTAATTTGGTATCCTTTTATTTAGACATGTTCTAAATCTTGGAATACTGAAAGCTATTTTCTATATAAATTAATGATAACTATATCTTTCCTTTCCATCATTTCACCTTATAAAAGATTTCATAGAAATGCTAAATTAAGTTGAGGAAATGAAACCTGTGTTCTTTTAGTATAACTACACAGGGCTATTACAAATGATTCATCAGATTTATCTGTTCTATAATTTTCAAGTTATGGATGTGTTCTTAATGTTCATGAAATGAAAGGAAGCATCTTAAATTTTTTAATTTGCACATGCAAACATATTTTTCTGAACATTATTTGGTAAATGCGAGTTCTGTTTTCAAAGTGTAAAGTTTATAGCATAAAGTGTTTCATGTTTTACAACACGCAAAATATTTATCCATCGTTACAGTGCAGTGTGTGTTTCAAAGTACAAAATAGATCACCAACTAAACTGTCAGAACATTGTGCAGTGGCATCGACAGTTCAAAAACACTAGCTGCCTGCATAAGGGCAAAACTTTGACATCAAAAGTGTGATTTGAGTAAAGTAAATATTACTTCTGTCAGTAGATAGCACTGACAGTTGCACTGGAGTTCTTAAAATTCCAGGTTTACCAGATTCGGCTCATTTATCATCCGAGGCTAACAAGAAACTCATTGCTAGACCAAACAATAGACCCCAATGAATGACCGGGATAACAGTAGCAACACCACATTAAAAGGTGGTTATAAATGAGGAAGACTTTCTGGAGGAAACTGTTTCATATTCATTTTAAACATGGGAAAAACCACGAAAAGTGCATATGCAGTTAATGTATTTGCCTAGACTCAAACCCAGCTACCATTATTCAATTTGTTTAATCTATCGACCACTAATGGCGGTATAGTACAAAAGTATAATGAAAAAATTTCTGTTTAGCTTTAACACTTTTTCAATGCTCAAAGAAAAACATATTTGACAATTCTGTTAAAATGTTCCCATGCATTTGTGCAATGTTAAGATCTGTAATAAATTAATATTTTCTGTTCGGTAGGAAAGGATGTTCACTGCCTTCTATAGATTTAATAAATTTCATTTACAATATTTAAAGATGCTGTTTTCGTTAGGATTATAGAGTTTCGATCATCAATTAATAGTAATCAGAGCATCCTTACCTGATAGGAAACATTACGTTAGTATTATTTTTACTCTAAATACTTTTATGCATTTTGAATAAATCCAGCATAGACATTATACATAAGTAAAGCATCGATACTGAAGATCATTTCTTTAAGACATATCTCTATAGAAATCCAAATAATTTGGAAATGTGGCTGATTATCTTAGAACGAAATTACTCTACTCTGCATATCATAGAATTAAAAAGATTACGATTTCATTTTATTATTTTTTCATTAAGAAAAAGTATAAAATTTGCAGTGAGCTCTGGAATGCCAATAATCTGGCAGATAAATGAGGAACAATTACATCAAAGATTGGGAGATGATTAACTTGGCATTAAATACTAGTTTAAGAGAGTGAATCATATGAGCATCCAGAGACATAAACTAAAGAGCATTTGCTCGAAGTCCTTGCTACTTGCATTTAACATACATATTAACATTTGCTGTACTTCTGTTACGTTTACACTTTGTGAAGAAATGGGGAGAACTGTTAATGATAAATTTTTCATGCATAATGATTATGCACTTATCATGCAATTAAAGTTACAGTAAACATGATTTTACATTCACAAAATTTGTATAGTTACTAATTGGAAATAATAATACTACGTTATTGTTGAGTGGGAATATCTATCAGTATACGAGCATATATCGTTGCTATATGCCCAGCGGCTGCGCGATAAGATAGCTTCCCGGCAAAGCG